AGAGGACACTCCCTGGTGGCACAATGGGTTAAGGAACAGCGCTGTGAAGCTATTCACAGCCACTGTAGCATGAGTTTGATCTCCGGCCCCAGAACTGACCCACATGGTGCAGCAGACCTCTCCTGTCTCGCCTGCTGCTCCCCTAACAATGTAGTTTGTCAGTCTACCTGTTCTGCTCCCTGCTCTGTTTCTGGCGACTCCTGTCCCTGCCCCCGTCACCCACTTCTGGTCTGTACCCCAGTTCTGTATGCATAAATCTTTTAAAAATTGTGGATTTAAAAGGATGTTATCTGAGGGTTTATATCAAGAAAAATGGTACATAAAATGGAGGCTTTTGGGTGTGAAAGAGCTCATATGATATAAAATTGTTCAGTGTCCTCTGAAGAACTCAAGTGTCCCTTTGTGGCGGTATGGATACTTTGCAGTCATGCTTTATAGAAAATGTACTTTTCTGGGGACTGTGTAAAATAATTGCTGGTAAAAATATTAAAATGTTACTGAATGCAGCGAAATTATAAGTGATACTAAAATTTCAAAAGGCTTGATGGAGAAAGGAAGCTACCAGTGGTCATAGGATATAATTTTTTTTAAGCTTTGGCTTCATTTTTATTGAACTTGTAGTTTGGTAAGATAATACAAAGCATGATTTGTATTATCTGAGATATGTTTGTTATCTATGAAAGAAGAAAGAAAATATGATAGCTTGGGAGAGAGCCTCTTCTATTAGAGACTAAACAAAGGAATTTATTGAAGTTGGAATGCATATGAAATTACTAACATGAAACATTGGTTTCTCTATCACTAAAATAATTCCAACATACTTGTTTTACTTTACTTACCACCAGACTCTATACATGTGCCCCCAGTAGTGTCTAAGATTTAAGTCTTTGTAATGGTGCTCTTCAAATAACAGCTCACAGATTTACAGCATTCCCATTATGTGGGACTTAGTAGGAATGCAATTTCAGTTTTTCTCCATCCCAGAAGCATTGAATCAGAATTCATGATTGTTTGGTTCCTGAAATATGTGTGCTAACAACTCTCTAAGACTTCTTAGGAATATGAGGGTTTAAGAACTTATGTTTTTCTTTTTCATGCAGTAATGTCATTAAGAGTAGTCAGTGCTGAATCAGGACTGGCATTTGTAGTACTGTAATGATGCATCCAAAGAGTTTGTACTATAATTTGGTATATTCGTGAAGGAGGGCAGAATGATGCATGCTTTCATGAATGATCATTAAGCAATATTGACCACATAGTACTTCCATGGAATTCAGTCTCTTGCAAGGCCTTCAGTTTTTCAGAATTGTTATTCTAAAATTTTATACCTTGAAAAGAAAGTAACATATTTCCTCTCATCTATGGGACCAGTCTGTATTCTTTGAATTCAATAAATTCAAAGATGAAAAGAAAACGCTTGTACAAGGGCATAGGGAATTAATATAGATAATGATTTGTATTCTAGGGTGTGTTAAAACCTGAGATTAAGGGCCAAAAGTATTAGCATATCCAAAAGTTCTGTTCAAATAAGGAATCACCAAACTTATATTTTTGTATTATTTATGTTTCCCCCAGTGGCAGACATAAGTAATAAAATTAATTTAGCCTTTGTTAATCGAAGTTACTTATAAATGAGAACATTATCAATAAGAGCATGAAATTCTGTTCAACAAAAATGTACTAAGTACATTCAACATGCCTCCTTTTGTCTTAGGGGTTGGGGACAAATGTTTTGAGACATAGTCAAATGGAAAAATCAAATACATGAAATACTTAAAATAAGGTCCTGGTTGAAATTAAGTTGAATGTCACTGTGAGGAAAATGTAGCTCTACTTAAGAGTTTTCTGAGGGCCTCTTTGATGTTCCTATTCCTGAGGCTGTAGATAAAGGGGTTCAACATGGGCGTGACCACTGTGTACATGAGAGCCGCAATGATGTCCTTGTTGATGAAACTGCTTAGTGTGGGGAAGAAATACTGGCCAAACATTGCCCCGTAATACAGACAAACCACAGTGAGGTGAGAGCCACATGTGGACAGAGCTTTGTAGATTCGCTTGGTGGATGGGACTCTCAGAATTGTGGCCCCAATGTAGCCATAAGAGACCATGATACCTACAAATGGCAGGGCGGTGGCCACCACCCCTACTGTGAACATGGCCAACATATTAAGGAAGGTGTCTGAGCAGGAGAGCTTGAGCAGGGCACCAAGGTCACAGAAGAAATGGGGTATGGTGTTGTCAGCACAGAAGGTCAGCTGGGCCAGGAGGAGGGTGTGGGAAAGGGCGTTGGCACAGGACAGGACCCAGGATGCAGCTACTAGTGAGGCACACAGCCCCTCGCTCATGATGGTGGTGTAGTGTAGGGGGTGGCAGATGGCCATGTAGCGGTCATAGGCCATGGATGTAATGAGGAAGCTGTCCAGGTCAGTAAAGAATATGAAAAAATATGTCTGTGAAACACACCCTGGATAGGAGATCAACAGGTCCTGAGTGCTCATGCTCACTAGCAGCTTCGGGACAGTGACAGATGAGAAGGAGACGTCAGTGAAGGCCAAGTGGCTGAGGAAGAAGTACATGGGGGTGTGGAGGCGCGAGTCCAGCCTGATGAGCAGGATGATGAGCAGGTTCCCCAGCACCGTGGTCAAGTACATGCCCAGGAACAGGGCGAAGAAGACCCCCCGTTGCTCGGGTAGGATGGGGAGCCCCAGGAGGAGAAACTCGGACACGCTGCTCTGGTTCTCCCACCTCGTGTTGCTCATGTCTCTGCTGGGGATGAAGGAATAGTTGAAAATTAAGGATTCAGAGATAACCATCTTTATTTCAGAAAATGGGAAATTACTTGTCTCTTATGTATTGATATATGAGGGAATCAGAAATTCTAATGAGGGTGTGAGAGCTAGGGTTTTCTTTGGAAATGAACAGTAGGATTCTCAGTTCTGTGACACTTAGGACCAGATCACGGAAAATGAGCCTGAGCAGGTTGTTGCCCCCATAATGCTCCGTGGTCATCCGAGGAGTATTTCACGTCATCCAGCACGGCCCCATAACCTTCAGAAGATTTGACTTCAAAACCTTTGTTAGATTTCAGACAGGACACTAAAAGAATTTGTCTCCCTTGGTCTTTCCGGTGGCTTTTTAAATGAAATAATGCAAGAATATTATCATATTCCATAAAGAAAACGCATAAAAGCCCATACATTTTGATTTGCTTTATTTCTCTAAAGCATCCCTAAGAAATTCTTGGAGTTATGTTAATCCATTTTTCTTGCTGCAGCCAAAGAGAGAATTTAAAAAGAAGTGTATATCATCCAGAATCCTAAATGACTTCCTCTATTTAAAAAATTTCAAAGTTTTCCCACTTTGAAACAGAACTGGGGTACAAGCCAGAAGTTCAGGGGTGATGAGAGGATTCACCAGAAACAGAGCGGGGAGCAGAACAGGCAGATCAACGGAGTGCACTCCTCAGGGAGCAGCGGGCGGGTCAGGAGAGGTCTGCCCCGCCCTGTGGGTCACCTCCAGCCACATGGAACTCACACTGAAGAGGTTGCAGCCAGCTTGCAGGGCTGCGTCCTAACCCGCTGCACCACCAGGGAGGGCCCCTGATCTGTTTTTTCAAAGATTTATTTATTAATGCACCTAAGAACTGGGGTACAGGCTAGAGGTGTGGGGGTTGAGAGGATTCACTAGAGACAGAGTGAGGAGCGGACAGATGGATGGACTGAAACACATTGCTGAGGGTAGCAGCAAGAGAGACAGGAGAGGTCTGCTGTGCCATGTGGGTCACCTCCCCAGCCAGGGATCGAACACGTACTGCAGGGGCTGCGGACAGCTTCACAGTGCTGTGCTCTAACCCCTTGCGCCACCAGGGAGGGCCCGGATTTCCACTGATCTTAAGATGAAGTGTAACATCCTTAATATGATGTCAAGACCCTGAGAGAGAGTGATGTCCCTCCATGTCCAAGCCATCCTTCACCTGCCCCCTCACCTTGCTGGCGTGTCTGATCCAGCGTCCCCAGAGCAGCACATTTCCATTCCATGGCATGTGGACACCTTCCCTTTGCTGGGTCTGGCTTTCCTGAGATCCAGTATGTGGGGCAGCAAAAGCAAAGGCCAGCCCGACTCTCAGCAAGTATTGTAGTTCACTTTCTAATGTCCACACATACAAGGGTAAATGCCTATGCGGCACCATCTTAAGTATGCACAAAGTGTATCTTTTATGCATATTTTTCTCTCATGCAACATAGCAGTTACTCCCAGCACAAAAATGAAGGGCTATTATTGAAAGATGCCTAAAGAAGTGAGATTTTTACCTGTATCCCAAGTCATCATTTTCTCTTGGGTTCTCTTAGCATCTTAAAACACATCAGCCCTCCTTGGTGGCGCAGCGGGTTAAAGCACAGCACTAAGAAGCTAAAGCCACTTCCACATGAGTTCGATCCCC